GGGAGCTGTATGAAATAGCTGTAAAGATAAAGAGCTTCCAATATACTGAAGGCCACCACACAGTGTATATTAATAGTAAGTGTTGTGATACATCACATACTTAATGTAAGACAAATACAATGATAAACTGTGTCAGGTAAATGAAAATACAGCAAGCTCTTAAAATTTGTGAGGTTTTGGATCTCCAAAATAATATGAATAACTTGTTGCCCTTAGGACAATTATTTTTTTTTTTTTACCTGTATTGTGTACACATATACACTACAGGTAAAAATTACTATTAATATAAAATAAATGGCTCCCTGTCGGCTGATAACAAATTAATCCACAGAGCATTGTTGGGCATTGTATGGTTGAGGACAACAAACTGCTGTGTTATCTGTGCAGGACCAACACCATTGTCTCCTGTACAACATAGTATACCCAACAGAACCCTAAGACGGCGCACCATAACAACAACATTATATATTCTCTCAACAGCTCTGCCTACAGCTTATTCGTGGGAACAGATGGACTTGACCGTCAACTGTAAGACATAATAGAACTCACTATGAAGGGATCTCAAGAAGTACTTCTTTGGAGTGAAAAAAGAACTCGACCGATGACGGTAGAACACTCGCTTCAATCACACAGACGGTAGTACCAACTCTTGTCCATGTGGTGATGATTGTCTCACTTACGTGCCTGGCATTATTATTATTTTATTAACCATTTCTAGTTGATTTAGTGCCATAAGCTGGTAAAAATTGGGGAGCTGGCATGAAATAACAGCAAAGATAAAGAGCTTCAGCCATACTGAAGACACCACATGCAGGTATTATTTATCAGTAATAGTAAGTGTTGTATACATCTAAATACATAATATGAATGAATACAATGATAAATACAATAAATCAGGTAAATATGAAATACAGCAAGCTCTAAAATTTGTGAGTTTGGATCTCCAAAATGGCCGCCAGATAACATATAGGACAATTATTTTTTTTTACTACTTTTATTGTGTGCAGACACATATACACTACAGGTAAAAAGAAATTACTGTGTATAAATAAATGGCTCCCTGTCTGACTGATAACAAGTGTCTAGACGACTGTTAGGTATGATTGAGAGTTAACAAGAAGGCTGCTGTGTTATCTACATACCCAGGACGACACCATTGTCTCCATAATACCTTTACCAGAGTATACTTAGCAGAACCTAAGACAATATACCATATAACAACATTATATTCTCTAACAGCTCTGCCTACAAAAAGCAATGCATTAGAACAAGATGGACTTGACACGTCAACTGTCGGGCTTCTGGAGCTCACTGAAGGGATCTCAAATGTTAAGCACTTCTTTGGAGTAAGAAAAACTCGACCGATGGCGGTAAAATTTTCTTGAAATCACACAGAGCCGGTAGTACAACTCTTGTCCATGTAGTGATGATTGTCTGCCCATTACTTGTATTATTATTATTTTTATTAACCATTCCTAGTTGATTTAGTACCATAAGCTGGTAAAGTGGGAGCTGTATGAAATAGCTGTAAGATAAAACTTCAATATACTGAAGACACCACATGCAGGTATTGTTATCAGTAATAGTAAGTGTTGTATACATCTAAAATACCTTAATGTAGGAACCATGTCACAATGATAAAATACAATAAATCAAATTAAATGAAATACAGCAAGCTCTTAAAATTTGTGAGGTTTTGGATCTCAAAATGGCCATGAATAACCTGTATTGCCCTTAGGACAGGTATTTTCTTTTACCTGGTATTGTGCAGACACACACTTACTGGGTAAAAGAAATTACTAATAATATAAATAAGCCAGCTCCTGTCACGACTGATAACAAGTGTCACAGACATTACCAGTGGGTATGGTTGAGGATTAACAAGAGCTGCTGTGTTAGCAGCGCTCACATGCAGGACCAACACCATTCATCTCTGTACAACACTGAGTATACCCAACAGAACCTGAACATATACCATAACATATTATATTCTCTCAACAGCTCTGCCTACAAATATTGGGAACAAGATGGATTTTGACCGTCAACTAATCGAACATATTGAACTCACTGAAGGAATCTCAAGTATTACTTCTTTAGATGAAAGAACTTCGACCGTGTGTTAAAGTACAACCAATCCTAGAATAGTACCAACTCTTGCTCCATCGTGATTGTCTCACTTGCCTTATTATTATTATTTTTATTAACCATTCCTAGTTGATTTAGTACCATAAGCTGGTAAAGTGGGGGAGCTGTATGAAATAGCTGTAAAGATAAAGAGCTTCAATATACTGAAGACACCACATGCAGGTATTGTTATCAGTAATAGTAAGTGTTGTATACATCTAAAATACCTTAATGTAAGACAAATACAATGATAAAATACAATAAATCAGGTAAATGAAATACAGCAAGCTCTTAAAATTTGTGAGGGTTTGGATCTCAAAATGGCCATGAATAACATTTGCCCTTAGGACAACTATTTTTTTTTACCTGTATTGTGTGCAGACACATATACACTACAGGTAAAAGAAATTACTGTGTATAAAATAAATGGCTCCCTGTCCCGGCTGATAACAAGTGTCCACAGACATTGTTGGGTATGGTTGAGAGTTAACAAAGAGCTGCTGTGTTATCTACCTTGCAGGACCAACACCATTGTCTCCTGTACAACACTGAGTATACCCAACAGAACCTAAGACAATATACCATAACAACATTATATTCTCTCAACAGCTCTGCCTACAGCTTATTCGTGGGAACAAGATGGACTTGACCGTCAACTGTCGAACATATTGAACTCACTGAAGGAATCTCAAGAGTATTACTTCTTTGGAGTAAGAAAGAACTCGACCGATGACGGTAAAATTTTCTTCGAAATCACACAGACGGCAGTACAACTCTTGTCCATGTAGTGATGATTGTCTCACTTACATTACTTGTATTATTATTATTTTTATTAACCATTCCTAGTTGATTTAGTACCATAAGCTGGTAAAGTGGGGGAGCTGTATGAAATAGCTGTAAAGATAAAGAGCTTCAATATACTGAAGACACCACATGCAGGTATTGTTATCAGTAATAGTAAGTGTTGTATACATCTAAAATACCTTAATGTAAGACAAATACAATGATAAAATACAATAAATCAGGTAAATGAAATACAGCAAGCTCTTAAAATTTGTGAGGGTTTGGATCTCAAAATGGCCATGAATAACATTTGCCCTTAGGACAATTATTTTTTTTTTACCTGTATTGTGTGCAGACACATATACACTACAGGTAAACGAAATTACTGTGTATAAAATAAATGGCTCCCTGTCCCGGCTGATAACAAGTGTCCACAGACATTGTTGGGTATGGTTGAGAGTTAACAAAGAGCTGCTGTGTTATCTACCTTGCAGGACCAACACACTGTAGTTTGTTTATCTCGCAGTACTCAACTGCCTTTCGTCCCTCGGTGTACCCCCATCAACAAAAACGTGTTTTGCGTTGACAGATGAAGCAGCTACGAGGGACTGCAGGTCCTTAGAGGGTCGGCACAAGTGGAGTACAGTCATACCACAAGATGCCATTGAACTGGAATTTGCAGAAATTTGGTCCGAGACAAAAATGAAAGCTTATCTGGGTGGAGAGGAATTGAGACGATTCTTTGGTAAGTATGAAAACTTTTATTCTTGATGTCATCTGTTGCTTTTAAGAGTTCTTTATTATGGTTGGAGGTAGAGGTATTGATGCACACACACACATGTAACTTCCTCTGAAGACTCACATGTAATTAGGGAATTACCAGATATTGTTAAAAAACTGTGTCTTAGTTGACTTCTCTGAGATGGGTGGACGGATACAGGCAATTATATGTACAGAGAGGCCGGCCACTTGATCTGGGACTGAGGGCTGTGAGCTTGAGAGCAGTGTTAGAGATGGTGTTTAGATCTGTTAGGAGTGAAGGGGTCTCTCAGGCTACTGCTCAGTGGTAGATCAGCAATGTGTGGTGTCCAGCTAAAGACTGACTAGCTATACCAGGGCAGTGTAGAGTATACCCAAGACAATATACCATAACAACAGCATTATATTCTCTTAACATCATTGTCTCCTGTACAACACTGAGTATACCCAACAGAACCTAAGACAATATACCATAACAACAGCATTATATTCTCTTAACATCATTGTCTCCTGTACAACACTGAGTATACCCAACAGAACCTAAGACAATATACCATAACAACAGCATTATATTCTCTTAACATCATTGTCTCCTGTACAACACTGAGTATACCCAACAGAACCCAAGACAATATACCATAACAACAACATTATATTCTCTTAACATCATTGTCTCCTGTACAACACTGAGTATACCCAACAGAACCTAAGACAATATACCATAACAACAGCATTATATTCTCTTAACATCATTGTCTCCTGTACAACACTGAGTATACCCAACAGAACCTAAGACAATATACCATAACAACAGCATTATATTCTCTTAACATCATTGTCTCCTGTACAACACTGAGTATACCCAACAGAACCTAAGACAATATACCATAACAACAGCATTATATTCTCTTAACATCATTGTCTCCTGTACAACACTGAGTATACCCAACAGAACCTAAGACAATATACCATAACAACAACATTATATTCTCTCAACAGCTCTGCCTACAGCTTATTCGTGGGAACAAGATGGACTTGACCGTCAACTGTCGAACATATTGAACTCACTGAAGGAATCTCAAGAGTATTACTTCTTTGGAGTAAGAAAGAACTCGACCGATGACGGTAAAATTTTCTTCGAAATCACACAGACGGCAGTACAACTCTTGTCCATGTAGTGATGATTGTCTCACTTACATTACTTGTATTATTATTATTTTTATTAACCATTCCTAGTTGATTTAGTACCATAAGCTGTTGAAGCCCAGTCTTGTACAGAAGTAAACGTTAATAGTTTATTATGGTGTTTTAGTATTGCCCAAATTTCACCACATTGTAGTATTAGATCTAATTATTCCTTTGCAGCATCATGGATAAATAAAATTACAATTTTGAGCTGCCAGTCCCTCTTGTGCAGGGGTGGCCAGCCTTTTGTGTGATGTGATCTACTTTTTCCACAGTTACCCTGACTCGATCTACCAGCCTAATATTCACCCATTGCCACTAAATACAGAGAGAGAGTAAACAAATAATATTTTTCAATAATTGTTAGGATATATTGTTAACATGACAAAATCATAAACTTACTTTAGTAATGAGATGGTTAGCACTGCATGTGGTGCAAGAGATTGGTCCTAGAGCAGGGCTGGGGAACCTACTGTAAGTGTCCAAGGTGGCACATGGCTGTACATGATGCTGGGAGTGATTAGTTTTTTATACAAGTGTTGGCTGGGGGATCATGTGAGTGGACAAATGTTTTAAAGTCCCTGCAGGTCAAATCAGTATTCAGGTAGTGACAGAAGTGAACGGTTGGCGTTGGTTTCGTTCTGCTCATAGTTTTTCTTGTGTTGTTTGTTAGTGAACATTGAATTGTTTTTAATTTTTTGAACATGTTTCTTAAAATTGATAGTAGAAACATGATAGAATCTAGTCTCATTAAACATACCGAAGCATTCAACATGAATTTGAGTAATGGCATGTACAAACTGGACAATTTTGTAATTAAGAAGATTTGTAACCAGGTGAGAAGGTTGGGTCACCTTACCCTCTGACCTGACTACCAACCGTTGCGGTGCTATTTAAAGATTAGTAAGGTCATTACCTAATACCTGACCATTGTGGACCTGGTCTCACCCTCCTCTGTATATATACACCTTGTTTTGTATTTCTCTTTAGTCTGTACTCACCCCTGGGAACTACGTGTTTTCTTCTTTCCTTGTGGTTATCAGTATATATATATATATATGACCATACCGAGCTATTGGAAAAAGTTCATGTTAGACTACTGTTTTGATAACCTGAGACGTGAGCGTTCTGATCTTCAAGCCAAGATAGACCACAAATTGGCACTCCTTATTAGAAATAGTGATTGGACTAAGGATGCCAATAACAACTGTGTAGTGAATCTCTCCTCGAAACAACTAGACAATGATACCTTGTGTGCCCTCGGCTATGGTTTAAGTTTTGATGGTTCTAACAAGGGAGTCGACAGTGTTGACATAGCCAGAGCATTTTGCAATTTGGAGAAATTCAGTAATTTGACAAGTGAAGAAGTGAACATGTGTAAAGGTGTCGTGTATGCATCTATGTCCAAGCCTTGTGTTCCAAACTGTCCAGAAAGATTCACCAAAGCAATCCAAGCCCTTAAGAAAAATAAGGATCTACATGTCACTAAAGCAGATAAAGCCAACACAGTAGTGATCTTAAACAAAGATGACTATATCTCTAAAATGAATGACCTCTTATGTGATACCACAACATATTCTAAACTTATAAATAATCCTCTCAACACTGTCAACACCCAGTTCAACAAAAAACTGAAGTCCCTATTGAGAGGCAAAGCTACGCTCATTAAACATCTTACTTCAACGTCCCCTCCACTGCCATACATGTACGGTGTAATCAAGACCCACAAGCCCAATAACCCAGCAAGACCCATCATTAGTTTTAAAGGTCAATTTTATAAAATTATTCAAAATGGGTTAAGCTTTTTACTAAATTCCCTTTGAAGTTAAGGGGGCTGACATTTTACCCTCAATATCAAGAATAATATGGGATTCAAGGATAAAATTCTGCACACTCACACACTGCGATTTTAAACTGGTTGCTGATGTAACGCTACTTTTACAAAGGTTCTGAAGGATGACGCATTAGAGTTCTCATGATTCCCGACAATATTCTCACTGTCTGTCTCGAAAGACGACTTCATCGAACTCATCAAACTATGTACAAGGATTGCAAATTGAATTAATGAATATTATGCTCAAAATTGGTATGGCAATGGGTAATTCATCACCTGTATTAAGCAACCTATATATGAATTTCTTGAAAAGAAAACTATTACAATATTTACCACCCTCAGCAGTTCAAGCTTTTAGATATATGCTGGATGATGTATTATGTTCCCTGGCCATGTAATGAGGACCTAAAAGCTTTACCACAACAATTAATACCCTAGTTTCTCGACAAATTACTGTGAATTAGAGTAAGACTAAATGTTATTTTGCATTGCTCTGATACACAGAATAGGTAATACTTTGCTCAGTATTTATAGAAAACCACCAATGTGTGTTCACATTCACATTATTCTGCCCACCATAATAAAGTCAAACAGTCAGTATTTTCAACAATGTTTTTAATGCGGTTCTGGAGAATTTGCAGTCCCGAATTCATCGATGAGGAATACAAATATATATATAATATTGGCTCAAACCTAAATACCCTAGATCTTCACAGACAAAATGCTTAAACATTACTAAGAAAACTTTTACAGAACTGACCCCAAGCCCACCCATGACCATAAGCAATATCCACATTAACATTTGCCGTACCCTCACACATTCCTGCACAGCTAAAAACCTGAAACGCCAATGTGGCATTTAAAAAATTCTCATGCACTGTTAAACAAATGTTAATCAAGAATTTCAACAAACACAATTGGTTGCATTTATAAAGTTCTTGCAAGGAATGTAATATAAGCGACGAAACAGACAGGTAAAAGATCTTGCACCAGAATTAAACAACACAAATACAGTGTTAGGACAGGTTATGGAATTCAATGCCTGTTTGTTCATTTGAGGGACAACAAGCATTGCATTGACTGATAATGCCTCCTCAATATTACCATGTGTCAATTGGACAGTAGAACATCATAGACCCAGTTTTATTAAACATGGTAACCAAGCATTCAAATTATGAATTTGAGCAACCCGTACGTACAAGCTGGACAATTTTGTAATTGAAGATTTAGGATCAGGTGAGAAGGCCGGTTACTTGGACCATCTGACGACCAACAAACTATTGTGTGCTATTTAAAGATTAGTAGGTCACACGAATACCTGGACCACGTGACCTGGTCTTCACCTCCTCTGTATATATACACCTTGGATTTGTATTACTTTCTAGTCTGTATCACCCCCGAAGATGTGAATTACACGAAAAGCGCTTGTGAACTTCGTTTTCTTTCTTTTCCTAGAAATATCAGATATATATATATATATATATATAACACAACACACACACACACACACACACACACACACACACACACACACACACACACTATATATATATATATATATATATATATATATATATATATATATATATATATATATATATATATATATATATATATATATATATATATATATATATATATATATATATATATATATATATATATATATATATATATATATATATATACATATGCTACAAATATGCAAAAAGTATTTGTCACTTATTGCTTGGCTGTCAAGACTAGTCTGTGTGCCAGGATAGGGAAGTGTCAGAACATCTCTTTAATTAAACTAGACATGACAACTCTAACTAACACACGAGGAAAATAAGACCACTAATGACGTAAAACAAAAAATAAAACGTGAAAAATTCAACACTTACGCTAGCAGGTGTAGTTTACCCACTGGGTGATGACGAATTTTGGTGGGATGATCACGCCACCCTGGCACCCGGCACTGTCCTTGCACTCCTGGCACTGTCTCACCCACAGTGTCCTGCACCCTGACAGTGTCCTGCACCCTGGGCACTGTCTCTGCACCCTGCAAAACAACACAACCACACTTTGGAGTGGTCAATCTCTGAGGAAAATTACGATAGCCACGACTTGCCAATCACAGCAGCCATACGCATAACTGGCAAGAAAAATATAACATACAATATGTGGAGACTATACATACAAAAAGAAATACCCTAGCCCAATTGCTGAAAGACAAGCACTTGGTGGTTAAAGGCTACTCTGCTGAGAGGGGTTCTCTAAGGTACCTATGACAAAAGCTCATGGTGGTGAGAGTGCTCACCTACTTTCAGTGCAGCATTTCCAGATCTGTGAAAAACACGACAATGACAAATATTATTGTGCTGTTTCTCCAGCAATATCAACTTTAGGGCAGCACACAGTACAGTGTGGGACAGCAATAGTGGGGCAGTGACACAGCACAGTGTGGGGACAGTATGTGGGGCAGACACAGGCACAGTGTGGGGACAGTATAGTGTAAAGGTGACACAGCAGTGTGGGGACAGTACAATAGTGTAGGGAAAGTGACCTAGTACAGTGTGTGGGGACAGTACAGCAGTGTAGGGCAGTGACCCAGCACAGTGTGGGGACAGCACAGAGGGGGCAGGGACACAGCAGTGTGGGGGACAGTACAGTAGTGTGGGGGGCAGTGACACAGTGGCTAAGTGTGGGGACAGCACAATAGTGAAAGGGTGACACAGGCACAGTGTGGGGACAGTACAATAGTGTGGGCAGGACCCAGAAACAGTGGACAGTACAATAGTGTGGGGCAGTGACAGAAAGGGGGACAGGCACAGAAGTGTAGGGCAGCACACAGTGCATACAGTGGGACAGTACAACAGTGAGGGCAGTGACACAGCACAGTGGACAGCAAGAGTGCAAGTGACACATAGTGTGTGTGGACAGCAGTAAAGGCAGTGACAGCAGTGTGGGGACAGCACAGGCAGTAAGCAGTGACACAGTACAGTGTGGGACAGCACAGTAGTGTGGGACAGGCACAATAGTGTGGGGCATTGACATATACAGTGGTGTAAGCAGTGATACAGCATAGTGTGGGACAGCACAATAGTAAAGACACAGTACAGCAGGGGACAGCACAGAAAGACACAGCACAGTGTGTGGGGACAGTACACAGTGTGGGCGGTGACACAGCACAGTGGGGACAGCACAGCAGTAAAGGCGGACACAGCTAGCGTGTGAGATTGCCATAGTGGGGGCAGTGACACAGCACATGTGAACAGTACAGCAGTGTAAGAAGTGACA